CCTTATGCATTTGCTTATGCTTATATATAGACCAATCAATTTCCTTATGCTTATGCGTTATGCTTTATGTAAAAGCTTGTGCTCTCGGCTTAAGGGTGCTGTTCCATGACAAACAGAACTTCGGAAATCGGAATCTCGGAAAAGTACTAGAGAGGTATCAACCAATCAGAATCATGTAAGATTCCGACTTTTTCGTTGGCTGGGTTCCCCATGGATTGACTTTTACGGAAAACGGAACGGTATTCTAACCTCAAATTATCTTTTAATTTAGAAAATGTCTTGATTATTTTATATTATAATAAAAAATATATGTAAATTTATTTTTTTTCTTATGTATTTTTTTATAATAATAATTTTTTTTTTTTAACAATAACAATAAATTTTTTAATTTTACAGAATTCCGGAAATATATTAGTGCATGGCGAACCCAGCAATAAAAATTCCGTACCGACTTGTGACGTCTAATGTAACACGACACACACACACACACACACACACACACACACACACACACACACGCACGCACACGCGCGCGCGCGCACGCACGCACGCACGCAAGTTTTAAACAATTTTTTTTTTAAACTTTTTTTAAACATTTTAAAATGTTTATATATATATAATATATATATATTATTATTATTTTAGTGAAATACAAAAGATTATTGAGATCGTAGTTTTATAAGACATTTATTGTTAATGAATAATTATTCGGTAAGTAATAAAATGATGATGCTTAAATGATGGTTTTATTAATTTATTTTTGGAAGTACCAGCTGCACCGCTCCTTTGAGTAAATTCCTGAATTTTTTTGTAACTATTTAATGACTTCCGATAACGATCTTTGAGATAATTCCATCTTTTTTCCGCTTCTATTGGTGTATACATTCCTGAAATATAAATTTACAATATACTTATAAAAGAAAATTTCTGTTTATATATATAGCATCGCGATACTACCGTGTCGCTTGATATTTTTTAAATATAATTAACTATAAGTATAAATCTTATCTTAAATAAATATATTTAATAAATGAATATTTTACCATTTAAATTTTCAGTTACTTTCTTCCATAAATCATTTTTTTGTCGAGTTTGTTCTTTTAAAGGCATTTGATAATCATATAATGGAGGTCTCTTTTGAACAGCATTTATTAAATCTTCATCAAGTGCTTGTTTATTTGTGTAATAGAATGCATTACTGTGCATATTTTCTGCCTCTTCATTTTCTAATGTTTTTGTACTGTTTTCTTCTTTATCATTTTCTTGATTTAAATCAGTATCTAAAAGGTAATATATATATTATTAAATTTTACATTAATTTTACATTAATTAATAATAAAAAAAAAGTAAAATTTATTGTACCTTGTATGAAAATATGTCTTTTATCATCTGCAACCAACACTTATCTTTATCAAAAATTGTCAAACATGTATGTGAGGCGACTTGATTTTCTTTTAATACCCAGTTACAACAGCCACATATGTATTGCTTTTGGAAATAATAAAAAATTAATTTTCTTAAATTAAAATATTTTTTAATATTTTTATTATTATAATATTTAATCAGTTATTCAATAATATGACCTAACCTATAAACTTTGTATTTACAATATATATATTTGACTTTTTTAATTAAATATATTTTACACAATAATATACAAAATTATGGTAAATTGAAATTACACCACTGACCTTTACCTTTTCACTCATGATGGGAAATAAATTACATGATAAATACACGATAATATCCGATAAAACGTTGCATGTATATGCTTCTCAACTTGTCTCAAGTAAAAATATGTAAGTAGTGCTAGAAAATAAAATTCACTAGATGATTCTGAGAGATTGGTTGATTTCCACTGTAGTACTTTTCCGCGATTCCGATTTCCGAAGTTTTGTTTGCCATGGGACAGCACCTTAACGGAACAGTAGTTGAAAAGAGATATATTTATCATATCTCTTTTCCTCTACTGTTCCGTTACTGTTCCGTTCCGCTATTTCTTTTTCCATGGGGATATAGTCTAAGACTTTTCGATAGTCAACCGACAGGCGGCGTCAGCAATTGGCTGCCAGCGATTCCTCGACGTGCAATATATCGACACTCGAACGATACGATCAGTCGCTGCTTCCGTACGACAGTGTTGCTAGACGGGACGCTTTTTTCACGAACGCACTTGAGAATCGGCCTCAATGGTGTACTAATTGAGGAAAAAAAGGGCA